TATATATATATATACACTGCTGTGTGTGTGTGTGAGGGTGCTGGTAGTGTGCTATATGGGTGACGGTGTTTTTGTGTGTGTTTGTGAGAGTGCTGTTAGTGTGCTGTGTGTGAGGGTGCTGTTTGTGTGCTGTGTGTGTGGGAACTGGTAGTGTGCTGTGTGTGTGTGTGTGTGTGTATGTGTGAGAGGGTGTTTGTGTGTGCCTGTTTGTGCGGGTCCTGTTAGTGTGCTGTGTGTGGGTGTTGTGTGTTTGTCAGGGTGCTGTTTGTGTGTGAGTGTGCTGTTTGTTTGTGGGTGCTGTGTGGGTTTTGTGTGTTTGTGAGGATGCTGTTAGTGTGTTGGGTGTGTGGGTGTTGTATGTGTGTGGGTGCTATGGGTGCGAGGGTGATGTATGTGTGTAGGTGCTGTGTGTGTGTGTGCTGTATGTTTGGGTGGAAGTGGAGGCAGATTAGTTAATATCCCAGTCCTGCTGCCTTCCCTGGTGGTTCAGTGGAGAGTGAACTCTAGCCCGGGTTGTCTGCTGCCTCCCTCCATGCTGCTGTGGACCGGTGAGGTAGAACTTTGATCTCCCCACCGGCCCATGGAGGCTTAGACCAGAGCCGCCGCTCGATTAGCGTTGGCTCTGCATGAGCCGACCGGGGAGATCCAGAGATCTCCCCTGCCGGTCTCAATCCATTGGCGTGCCGCAGGGATTAGGGTGTGCCCAGGCACACCCGACACACCCCTTGCGCACGCCTATGGAAGTGAGGGATGGGGGAGACAGCCTACATGAAGAGTAAGCAAGGAGCAGGAAGGTAAAGTGAGAAAAGGAGAAGGAACAGAAATGAGCAGGAAGGGACATCAAGGAGCAGAAAGGGGCAGCAAGGAGCTGGAAGGGACAGCAAGGAGCACAAAAGGTAAAGTAGGAGAAGGAGCACAAAAGAACAGAAATGAACAGGAAGGGTCAGCAAGGAGCTGGAAGGTAAAGCAGCACAAAGGTAAAGTAGAAGGAGCAGAAAGGGTCAGAAATGAGCTGGAAGGGGCAGAAGGAGCACAAACATAAAGTAGGAGAATGAGCAGGAAGGGCCTGCAAGGAGCAGTAAGGAGCACAAAGGTAAAGGAGCAGAAAGAATCAGAAGGAGCACAAAGGTAAAGTAGGAGAAAGAGCAGAAAGGGACAGCAAGGAGCACAAAGGTAAAGTAGAAAAGGGAGCAGAAAGGGTCTGCAAGGAGCAGAAAGAGATCCGAATGAGAAAGGAGCCGAAGGGCGCAAAATAAGCAGAAAGTAGCAGAAAGGTAAAAGAGCAGAAGGGGCCAAGGATAGAAAACAGTGTCAGAAGAAAAAAAAAGACTGTCAAATGAAGGAGAGGAAAAGGAGATTGGAGCAGAAAGGACAAATGAAGTGAACCCTCCACTTTATTCTGGACACCACATCATAAGGCTTTGGTACCTGGGCCAGGCAGGGAAACGCTGGACCTACTCATCTCCAAAGGTAAAAAAATATCGGTGTTAATGTGTTCACTTTTATTTACTGAGTGTCAGGAAGCACAGAGTGCCGTTGGGTAGGGGTGTTGCTGATTGGTTAGAGCGGTCAGCTGGCACTCTAAGCCAATCAGTAGCTCCCCATTCATAAAAAGTAAAAATATTTTATGAACCGGGAACTAGCGATTGGCTTAGAGCGTCAACTGTCCACTCTAGCCAATCAGCGGCACTCATGCCTGACGTCAATCTGCACTTCCTGACACTCTGTTTCAGAAGCCAAATACCACTGAGCGACCTGGAGCTGGAGGAAGCCTTTGGGGTTAAACCATTTGAGAGTGATTTAACCCCTTAAAGGAAAGCGAACACCCAGGGGCTTCCTGGCATCATAGCATTTTCATTTAGGTGAAGTTGTTATGGTGACCAGAATGGTCCTTTAATTTGCTTAAAGGAACACTATAGTGTCAGGAATACAAACATATATTCCTGACACCATAGTTGTGAAACTGCTATTCACCCTGGCTTTATGTGATAATGGCTGTGCCCCTTCCCTTTCATGACACTGTCAAAAAGGTACCAAGCATGGATGTCATTGCAATTATGCCCCCCCCTGGAAAAATTCCTGCGGACGCCCATGTGCATATAGTTACAATTTACAAAAGCTGGTACACCATAATTACAGGTATTGATCTCTTATTTACAGAATGAGATGTGCTGGCTCGATTCCTCAGTAGTATTCCTGAATGGGAACATTTTAATAAATCAAGAAATAACAAATTAGGTATGACTGAAGGGTGAAGACAAGGGGGAAGGTGACATGGATTCCAACGTAGATTCTTCAGCGAGGGTCATGCAGCTTTGAACACGGATGTTTCTGGGGGGGGCTGCCTTTCATAAATTATGCCCACCGGGCACACGCATGCCAAGGCTCCTATGTGGGCTAAATGCCATGAACCTGGATCCATGGCCTCCCAGAGTGATGGCGCCGCCAGCGGAACCTCCCAGAAGGATCCCCAGATTGGCGGTTTGCAGGAGAAAGGATGTCCTGTGGGCCCCACCTAAGTTGTCAAAATTGAGTCAGTGTTAGAGATGAGAGGGGAAATGATTATATTGCCTCTTTATAGGTTTGCCAAGGTTTCCATATCTTATTAAAAGATGAGCGGGAATTGCATAGTTGGTCCATTAAGTGGTTTTCCTCTATTTTTGCGCTGACGTCTCTGATAGACGGGGGTTAGTTTTAACCAGTATGCTGCCAGGACTCACCTAGCTGCTAATGTTACTTTACATAATTTCTGCTCACGGTGTGTCAGGCTCTTGTGAGGCCTGGAGAGCGGAAACAGCCACGGATCCAGCTTTAACGGTCTACAGAAGATTTCATCCAGCAATGTATTGACCTCCCCCCAAAACAAGAATTAGGAGGGGTAGAACCACCACAAATGAGAGTATGTTCATCCTGCACATTCTTTTTAATATCTACTGCTTTTACTTGTTTTTGTGTTGTCTACTTACCATTATTGCTGCTCATCCATCATTTGTCCTTCGGGGGTTCATACCATATCATCGTTTAAGCTGGATATTGGAGCTCTTTTAGCCTAATCAGCCTCTACCTGCTATTTGTTTCTGAGTGATTCAATCTATTTACAGAGCTAATACTAAAAAGAAGAATTGCGACAAGTAATAATACTGATATAATTCAACAATATTATATAGCAGATACGGAAAAGAGTGTTTGTGTCAGGATTACAGAATGATCCAGCACGTAGAATTGTGCAACACAGAGGACTGATAGGTAACGTATACCGGACCTTAGAATGGCCGGACTAACGTATCAAAGAATAGTCAGGAATAGCCGAGGTCAAGGGAAACAGAAATAGACACAACGATAAGGAAAAGCCAGGAGTCACGGATGCCAGAAAACAGGGAAGTCAAAAACAATGCCAAAGTCGAATAACCAGAATCAATAACGCTCTCTCGGACAACCACAAGGGAAACCACGACAGGGCACTGAGCAGGATGAGAACTTTGACCCCCAAAGACAGTTACCAGGTTCCCATTTGCATAATTGCTGCTCAGCACAAACCCTCCTGTGGATTTAATTGCTGCTCGGCACAACTTTTCCTGTCAGGGCAGTAATGTTGTTTGGCACAACTTTTCCTGTCTGAACAGCAAATTCCATTTTTCACATTTTTATAAGCAGATGAATATGTGACAGTTTGTATTTGCATTTACCATTTACAAAGATTTTTTTTTTAGGTATCTGCTATACAATATTGTTTAATTGTATCTGTATTATTACTTAGCGCAACCTGGTTTCTTTTTTTTTGTATTGTCCTATTGTCATGGATTGTTAGGGTATACAGGTTTCAGTGTTTGCTGCCTTTGGAGTCAGCGCTAGGGATCGACCGATTATCGGTTTTGCCGATATTATTGGCCGATGTTGTGGGTTTTTGTAAATATCGGTATCCTGCCTATAATCTTACCGATAATGCCAATAATGAGGTGGCCCAGCGTACAACCAATCTGTCCTCTTTACATGACAGATTTAAGGTTTATAGCCAAGTTCATGTGATGTAGTTTATGGAACCCAATAAAATCTGTGGCCTATTCCCTTAACCAACAACAGGTGTTATTGTTTAATTTATTGGTCATGGGGCATGTTGGTAATCCCTGGTCCAGTAATCATGCTGTAAAATTCTGTAATGAAAAAATTGCATGACATGCCACCTGATCCTTGAGAGTTGTTCTTCACCAATCTCCTCTGGCAAACCCTCTACTAACTATGGAAAAACGGAGCCCCTTCACCCACATGCTATACCGGCTGAGGATAGTGAGATACTTACTTATGAGAACATTAACTTTGCACGCAGGTACCAGGAAAGTCCTGAAAGTGTAACTTCTCCGTAAATTAGAAGTGTTACAAGGAACATTGTGGTAAAAGTCCAGCAACAAAAGGGACGCCAGATTACATGTGGAACCTGCTATTGTCTTGCTGCCAACCATCTTGTTACTAGCAGCCATTTTATAGAATATAACCTATGGAATAGAAATTGTTTTTTTGTTTTTTTCTTCTGCTTTTTAATTTACTTATTTTTCTCAGTGTTTAGCGAAGACATTTGGGTATCTTTGTTTAAGTTCTTAATTGCATAGGGGGGTGTCTTTCTGGAAATGTGTGCTTGATTGTTGCTACCTTCTTTGAGCCGTTTTATAGCTCCCTCTGTGTTGTTGGGCCCAACCCAAATGTCTTATCTCTACAGGACCCATTTTGTACCCTGCATGATTATTCAGACACCTGTACCATGATCACAATCTCCTCCTACTTTCTAGAGCTAACAGCCACATCAACGTTCATGGATCTGGTGAAATAAATGTTTTAGAGAAGGAAAATTGCACAAATCATGCCCAAAATGGTGCCCCCACTTGGGTAAGGATTTTGGAAAGTAGAGGGTCTGCATTCATTTTTCAATCAAATGAATAAACCATATTATAACATGTGTACTTTTTATTAAGATTGCAAATTACAAGATCTGATCACCAGTGCGTATATATTCCACCCGTACACTATTATGTATCGGCTGTAATGTGCCTTACAAATTAGAAGTATAATAGTGATAATAAAACAAGAAGCCTTATTAGGAGTCGATAGGAAACTTGATCATTCAGCATAACAAGGTCAAGAATAGGAGGAGATCTTCATGGACTTGTTCCTTGGCTCTAGTAACATATATCCAAAGTGAAGTTTGTGTAAACAATGAAAGTGAACATTTTAACCTAACCCAACTGGATTGGAAACCAAAATACTGTAGCCTCAGATTTGGGATCCCATGATCTATGTGGAGCGTCCTGCTCAGTTTGATGGAGGACTGCAAAGTTCATCGTTCTTTAGTGTCATTTTTGACACTGCATTGCCATATGTTGGCTCAGCATCTTGGCAATCGTTCCAATCAGAGTCCAGTACTCATCAAAACTGATCTTCTTGTCCTTGTCTTTGTCCACAGACTTGATGAGTTTGTCGACAGCTTCCTTGTTCTCAGTATACTGTATGAAGGAAGTATTGTCAGACTGATAGATCAAGGTGTAGTAACCATTAAAAAACAGTTATTTTGGTTTGAAAAATGCATGTTGTGCTTTTTAAAAAGGAAAACAATTTGTATTTATTGTTAAAGGGATATACATCACTTTGAGACAACTGCCTCATTAGTAATCATTAGCTTTGAACAAGACAATTGCCTCACTCTGCAGGCTGAAAAAAACAACAAGCCAAATATACATGCTTCTCCTTTATGCCTTTCACACTCACTCCAGGATTGGCACTGATCTAACCAATCAGTGTCCTATCCCTAGGAATCCTTGAAAAGTGCATTGGGCATGGCTGACAGTTGGAGGATCTCTTCACCTTGAAACAGCCTGACACTGGTGGGGAACATATGGAGTAAGATAAGTGTGTTCATGCAGATCAGGCTCTGGTGTCTGGTGTTTTCTACTGCTGAACAAATATGCCATATTTCTGCCATTAGTGGACTAATCTAAAACTGAGATGGGTGGGAAAGAGGGGGGAGCTGAAGAAACTCCCCTCCGTGAGAGGGAAGCCTCATAATACAATCTGACCAAGTTTATAGTAAGGTTATAAACATTTATTAAATTTTTTCAAATTTTGTCTTGATTTGTTTATTTGTTTAAAATATTTGCTTGCTTGTTTTAAAAAAATATTTAATGATGTATGTCTCTTTAATTTTTAATTTTTCTGTGCATTCATTTTATTAACATGCCTCTGTGTTCAATGTATGACAAATAAGGGAGTTGTACTTTGGCAATAGCAGCTGATATACTTTGTTATTACTCCTGAAAGACACTTCTATATGCTATACATCTTTATCCCTAGCAGGCATGCTGAATATAATTTAATCACAGTGGGTTAAAATTCAAATAGCAATATTTTACCCCAATAGCTTTTTTGGAATAATTTAACAGTGGAAGCTTGAGCCTAATTTTTGCCATTCAGATACTGATTTGCTGGTAGGTGGTTGGGTTAGCCCCTTGCTCTAAGTCAATCAATGTCAAAGGATTAAAGTCTAAAGCGCTTTAGATAAAGCCATTAACTGTTGAAACACGTTAAGTGTAGCAGATTATGATTTTATACTGTTTATTTTACTTTCTACTGTTTTATTCTTTAATTTTATAAATAAAAGCACTTTTTACTGGAAAGTGTTGAATGCTGCTGGATATCAGATCATGTATATATCCTTGGTGGGGATAAGAAACCACCCACGCCCATTGGACTGAGCAAACCGTATTTTGCTCTATTAAATGTGAGTACGTTTTCATAATTTCAACTCTGTATTAATTTTTTTAAAGTGCACACTATTGTGGTTTTATATGTGGAGATTTATATGTGGAGATATATCTATGTCACCTATATCCTAGAGTGAGTTTCATACCACTTCACGCAATACCTGTGGAGCCACTGTTCAGGCTCCAAAATATGTGAGTACACATTTTTAAACTACTGTATTGCTGCTATCTTACTGTACATACTACACTATATTATCTTGATTTTCCTCCACATACCCAACATCAAGAGGATTGACCGCGGATTCTGGACCACATATCCTTAGGTGGGGATCGTTGTGCCCAAGCCTTTAAGTTAGAGCTAAACCTAAGCTCCTGGAAAGTGTGAGTGAACTGCTTTTATTCTTTTATTACGTTTTACGTAATACACTATTACTGGTCTCTTCTACTTTCACATATATTTTTGAGGACATGCTAGGCACTACACCTACTTCCCTGCTTTTCAGGTTCCTAATTTTCCCTGCACATATAACACTTCTACATCCTGGGGGACAATATGTGAATATTGTTGCATTGCAGTATACAGAATTCATAATATGCTGCAGAGAAATAGCTGATTAATAAAGAAGGAATCCTAAAGGATATTCCAGAGTTGGTGATTGAGTTCATACCTGCAGTATAAATGCTGCATACTACAAGGCAGTACTTTTCATGCACTAGCCACCCCCATAGAGAAGTGATGTGCTTGTTAGAATTTTAAAATGGTGACAACCATCCTGGTAATGAGGGGATTTCATCTTTCTCTCACCGTGAGGATGTGGTGAAGGTCCTGCGTGATAATCTTTCGGAATTCCTCCTTGTTCATCTTGTCATTTCCTCCGGCGTGTTTATAGAAATTGCGCACCAGTAGTTCAATGGCATCTTCCAATTTGCTAGAGTCAGACGCCATGGTATGCAACCACTACTGTGACCTCTGCAAGAGACAACGAGAGTCAGCTGATACGCAAGAGAGAGAGAGAGAGAAAAACTGTGCTCATACTACTGTGTATACTATGCATAGTGTTAAAACCTCCACTCTGACCCCACACAGAGGCTCTTTATTGACATTAACCCCTTAAAGGAACACTATAGGCACCCAGACCACTTCAGCTTAATAAAGTAGTCTGGGTGCGAGGTCCATCTAGGATTAACCCTTTCTGCTGTAAACATAGCAGTTTCAGGGAAACTGCTATGTTTACATATGGGTTAATCCAGCCTCTAGTGGCTGTCTCATTGACAGCCGCTAGAGATGCTTCCGCGCTTCTCACTGTGATTTTCACAGTGAGAAGATGCCAGCGTCCATAGCCAAGCATTGAGAATGCTTTCCTATGAACTGGCTGAATGCACGCGTGGCTCTTGCCGCGCATGCGCATTCAGCCGATGACGGCGAAAAGGAGGAGGAGAGTCCCCAGCGCCGAGGGAGCCCGAGTATGTTTTCCTGGCACTATAGTGGTCCTTTAAATACAAAGCTTCAGATGCTTGTCTTTCACTTAAAGTGACACTATAGGCACCCAGACCACTTCATTATATTGAATACAGCTTTGTATTCTTAACACTAAAGTGTTAATTTTAAGAACCAAAGCAATTTTGTAATTTTAGCTATGTGAGTATTCATCTCTCTCATTTATTACACTTTTTTAAACTTATTTATTTACACATTTATATACTTTTTTTAAGGGAAAAACTACTTTCATTTGCTGAAACATATACATATAGAAATCCTCATTTATAAAGAAAAAAAAGGGAAGAAATTTTTTTTTCCCCACAGTTCTGGCAATAATATTTTGTGCATATTTAGCACAGCATAAGAAAAGTGATTCAAAATAAATTAATGTAGTTGTTCTGGTTTACAGAGTACATAATATGTCTAGGATTTCAGTTTATTTCTGATAATTACAGCTTACAAAATACAATTTCAATATGGAGTGATTTTAGAATTTTATATGTTTGCCTTTTAATATTATTAGCCAATACAGAAAACAAAATTGCCAGACAAAAGTACATATTTATATAAAGTAGACATCGCAGGCTATTTACCTAAGGTTACTTTGACACTTTATGTAGCCATTTAACTGCCAATTATTGTAGTTAAATTTGTGTTTTATGTTTGTTTGATTTTTTTCCCCACATATAAAAAGGTTTTTTTCCCCATACACATTACACATACACTAGGTATTTTGGAAATCTGATTTGTGCCAGAGTGATAACCTCCCCTCTACCCCAAATTTTGCTAAGCAAACTCTTCTGAGTAAAACAAAATCCCCAATGTATATCTGTGACACTTACTTAAGCCCTTAAGGACACATGATGTGTGACATGTCATGATTCCCTTTTATTCCAGAAGTTTGGTCCTTAAGGGGTTAAAGGAACACTATAGTCACCTAAACAACTTTAGCTTAACCAAACTTAAAGCAGTTTTAGTGTATAGATCATGCCTCTCAGGTTTGCTGCTCAATTCACTGCCATTTAGGAGTTAAATCACTGTGTTTCTGTTTATGCAGCCCTTGCCACACCTCCCCGGGCTATGATTGACACAGCCTGCATAAAAAAAAAAAAAATGGTTTCACTTTCAATCAGATGTAATTTACCTTAAACAAGTGTATCTCTTTCTCTGTAAATTAAACTTTAATCACATACTGGAGGCTCTTGCAGGGTCTAGCAAGCGATTAACATAGCAGGGGATAAGAAAATCTAAATTAAACAGAACTTGCAATAAAGGAAGGATAAATTGTAGATGACACTTTACAGGAAGTGTTAAGGGAGGCTGTGCAAGTCACATGCAGGGAGCTGTGACTAGGGTCCATAAACAAAGTGATTTAACTCCGAAATGGCAGAGAATTGAGCAGAGAGACTGCAGGGGCATGATCTATACACCAAAAGTTGTTTTTGTGACTATAGTGTCCCTTTAAAAAGACCTGACTATTTCAGTGTTTAAAGTTAGAATTTTGGTAGATGGATTTGACGCGCCTATTCTGCATTTTGGAGCATTGTAGCAGTTTGCAACGCATACTATTTGTGAAAGTAGACACCACAGTTAATGTTCCATGGTATATTTTGAGACTTATTATACAGCTATTTTAGTGACAATTTCTTTCAAATTTTATGATATTTTATTTTCACTTTTTTTTACATGCACATTGCAATTTAGCAGTTTATTTTGTAAACTTGATATGTACTGCTTTAATAAAAAACACTAAATTGTGCTCATATATATCTCCTGAGTACAGAAGTACAGAATGACCCCTTTTTGCTCTCTCATGAAACACACTTCAAATATTTTGTTTTTACAGTTTTTCGCTTGCTCGTGAGCAACATATCGCAGCCTCTGACTGATAGCTTTCATATAATGTAACAGGTGTGTCAGGTAGGACTTGTGGTTTTGAAAACTCATTTGATCTGTAACTGTCTCCCTTTAACTAGTTTACCTTTTGATTACTATGAGTGCAACACTCTATATGCATATTATGGAGAACCTTCTCTGTATATTTACAGTATAAATGCACCTAACGAGGTAGCAGATAAATAACGATCTGTTAAAATCCAAAGGGCAATACCCCTCATATTCTGCACTGCATATTGCCAATGCTCAGAGATAATTATTGATTAATCTGACATTTTCCCCATTCTACAACACGTCCATATACTTTTCCCAGTGCAGTTTCCATAAGCCAGGGGGAAGTGAGTACCACTATAGTACAATATTTATTGGTAGTAGCTACCAATGTGCTTGGTATGACATATGTGTTCCAACCAATGGAATCCTACTGGATTTAGCATCAGACCCAGTTTTTAGTTCAGACCCAGAGACTACTAAGAATAAATGACATAGAACATGTCCGTCCCGTCCCCCACCAAGATTCTGTTTTGTCATGTGACTCACATCTAAGGCTCATCTGGTCTATGGTGGGCAATGCCAAGTGACCTGCTTTGTAAATTAAACAATATTTCCGTTTTCATCTCTAAACCTATTAAAAAAATATTAATTTTTCTTCAACAGTTGATCACTTAGTTTTTTTTGCTTATTATATAATGACCTATCATTATTCAAGAAAAATAATAAATGTAAAAAAAGTTTAATTTTTTTCTAGATTAAAATAATATTTACAACTTTTTAATTTAGTGTTTTTCAAGTGTTTCTCACTTGTGTAGTTCACCTTTCACATATAAAATAAATTCTGTTAACTATATACATAGAGATGTTATAGAGATAATATATGAAGGAATTTATAAGTTACTTGATATTGGTGAAATAGAATGTCCTCTCTGGTACAGTGTCCGCTTCTCTCTCTAAATCAAGACGTATGTAACAGTAGATATCTGGAAGGTTAGGTACATGCTTTTTCCAAGTGCTTTCAGGTTTCTTTCGTTCTGCTCCTCTCTCTCTTACCTTCCCCTTTAGTGTGCTCCCTGTTTTTATCTACGTTTTCCCTAGTTATCTTATGGAATGCCTACTCTGCTGGCTGATTAAAATTCCCCACATTCTATTGGGCAGAGAAACCTAATCAATAACTAGGGGTGTGTGTGGGTAAATTAAAGGACTGTTTGAGCATTCGCCTTATCTGTGCACTAGATGATAATGTGAAATTACTCTTTAAACAGTGTTCAGTTTCACCAAGATCTTAGGCAGTTTAAGGCATTGATTAATATGTTTCCAGTGATTTATTTTACAAAATAATGTTTTTTTCTGGATTTGATTAAAGGAATACTATAGCATAAGGAATACAAACTTGTTTGTGTCCTAGTCTACCTTTTTCACCTGTAACGATAAAGAAAGGCAATAAGCACTGTGGCATTTACGTATGGTAGCAATAAAAGTGTTTAAGATGCCATTAATGTAGAATTAGAAAGTTCAGGTAATGTTTAGGATGGACCCAGAGCAGCTCACCTGTTCCTGCCGCAATGATGTCCACAAAAGAATCAAGGTCCTGTCCAGAGGAATTCGCGCAGAGTGGAATCCTGGTTGAGAGCCTGCTTAAATTCATGTCGGGGGCTTCCAACTCTGACAGGGAGCCTCCGGTAGCATCATTCTCCCCTGCAGAGTGCTCCTGGCGTCTGACAGAGGTTCCGGTTAGCGGCACGACGTCCTCAGCCGGAAAAGAAGAGCGCCCACACGTGTTAAAGACGGGGCAGAGAGTGCAACCTGCTAGAAAGAAGTGAGAATGTGCAGCCATGCAAAAACCTTCAGAATTTAAAGGATCAGGGCCTGGATAGAAGAAAAGATATAAGAGAAGCCTGCGCTCCTCCCCTGAACCTGTTGCAGGTCAAGGTAAAGTAGAGGACCTGACTGAAGTCGTCCTCACAAGAATAGAGGACAGTTTGGATGATGAGAGTGAATGTCATCTGGAAGATATGCCAATCCTGAAAGAAGACTCTGGCCATATAAGGAAACTCTCCGTATAAGGACCCTACCCCCAATCTCCCTATACAGCACATTCCAGAGTCCTCATAGTACAGAACAGCAAACACCATCTGTTCTTTTTAACCCATTAGACATCCACACCTTAATATGTATTTGAATAGGAACATATATATTCTACACAAGGCAGAGCTGGTGCTTCAGATGGTGAGCATGAACAGAATTCTGCTGAATTTGTTAAAGGAACACTATAGTCACCTAAATTACTTTAGCTAAATAAAGCAGTTTTAGTGTATAGATCATTCCCCTGCAATTTCACTGCTCAATTCACTGTCATTTAGGAGTTAAATCACTTTGTTTCTGTTTATGCAGCTCTAGCCACACCTCCCCTGGCTATGATTGACAGAGCCTGCATGAAAAAAAAACTGGTTTCACTTTCAAACAGATGTAATTTACCTTAAATAATTGTATCTCAATCTCTAAATTGAACTTTAATCACATACAGGAGGCACTTGCAGGGTCTAGCAAGCTATTAACTTAGCAGGGGATAAGAAAATCTTAATTAAACAGAACTTGCAATAAAGAAAGCCTAAATAGGGCTCTCTTTACAGGAAGTGTTTATGGAAGGCTGTGCAAGTCACATGCAGGGAGGTGTGACTAGGGTTCATAAACAAAGGGATTTAACTCCTAAATGCCAGAGGATTGAGCAGTGAGGCTGCAGGGGCATTTTCTATACACCAAAACTGCTTCATTCATCTTGTTTTTTATGACTTAATAATTTGAAATCTGTTTTGCATGATGTGACAGCTGCAGTAGGTCCTTCTTTTTATTTTAATATTCTTTATTTTTGTTGTGCAAAGGTTGACAAACACGTTTCTGATGACAAAATAGTGAGAACAAGCTCTAGAAGATAGACATCTATATGACATAGGATAATCTGCAACACGCGCGTATACACATAGTGACTGGTAAAGTGTCTTGGCCTAAACTTACACATATTTAGTGTGGAATATAGTGTCAAAGACAAGTGTAACGGAGCTCCCTGTACCCCAACTGGGTACCTCCGCCAAAGGACTGCTTCCTAGCTGGAACAGGGGACAAACCTCAGCACTCTTGCCCTAAGTCGCCGTGACTTGACTGGTGTCATGGAACCGCTCCCTCCTGGTGCCGAATGGGGAACTCACTCTTGCAACCCCCAGGCACTGGACGACACTCAGTCCTGGGAGCTCTAGTCCTGGAACCACTCCCTCCTGGAGCCAAAGGGGGAATTCGCTCTAGACATCCTCAGGCACTGGACGATACGCAGTCCTGAAGGCTCTAGTCCTTACAAGGACTTTCCCCCGTTGAATCTTCCACACTGGAACAGTGATTAAAGAATAGCCCTTTTCCCTTCCAGTAACCAGAAGACAAGTACAAGCTGGATGTCAGAACTTACCAAAACTCCATTCCCTCGGGGTTACTTCTGTAATCGGAAGTAAACTCCTCCCACCTGAATGACGCAAGACTCACCTGCCTTATAGGGGAGCTGCGCCAAATTCAAACTGCTGAGTGATTTTGTCTCAGCCTCGAACATCAAGCTTAGCTGTCATATTACTTCTGTCGTGTACCGACCCGGACCTGTTTAACGTTGATGCTGCCTTCTCCTCACCTTGAATCTCTGCTCGGACATACACCACGCTGCCATCTCCTCTCCAAGACCATAATTGACATTGGAATTCTGTTATTATTATTTTATTATTTATATAGCGCCATCACATTCCATAGCGCTGTACAATGGATGGACTAACAGACATGTAATTTTAACCAGACAATTGGACGTACAGGAACAGAGAGGGGGAGGGCCCTGCTCAATGAGCTTACATTCTAGAGGGAATGGGGTATAGTGACACAAATGGTAAAAGTAGGGATACGAAGTAGGTTGTTAGAAAAGTATTCATTGAGGGCTTGGTAGGTAATTTTTACAGTTGCAGGAGAGGAGTCATGGGGGATGGGGGATAAAAACCTGCTAACAGTTTAATTGATATGCTTTCTTGAAGAAGTGAGTTTTTAAAGATTTTTTGAATGAGTGGAGACTGGTTGATAGTCTTATGGAGAAGGTGAGGTGCAGCCCTGGAGAAATCTTGGAGGCGAGCATTAGAGGTGGACGTACGGACAGAGGATATACGTAGGTCTTTGGCAGAGCTTAGGGGCCTCGACGGGACATACTTGTGTATTAGGGAGGATAGGTAGGTTGGAGTAGCATTATGTAGGGACTTGTAAGCAAGCATTAGAATTTTAATTGAGTCCTATATCTAACTGGAAGCCAATGCAGGGACTGACAGAACGGAGAGGAGTGGCAGGTGCGAGCGGACAGGAAAATAAGCCTTGCCGTTACATTCATTATAGATTGCAGCGGTGCAATCTGGGAACACGTAAGACCACTGAGAAGGGTATTTCAGTTGTCAAGGCAAGAGAGAACAAGAGCATGGACCAGCACCATAGCCACAACTGGGGTTAAATAGGGGCGGATGCGCGCTATGTTTTTGAGATGGAAGCGACAAGATTTGGCGATTGATTGGACATGAGGGGTGAAGGAGAGGTTGGAGTCAAAAAACACCCAGGCAGCGAACCTTCGAGGTAGAGGTGATGGTAGCGCTGTTGACGTGGAGGGAGACAGACATGGAAGTAGTAACACTTGAGGGAGGAAAGGCCAGAAGTTCTGTTTTGGACAGGTTGAGTTTAAGGAATTGAGCAGCCATCCAGTTGGAAATCTAAGAGAGGCAGTCAGAGACAAGAGTCAAGGTGGGCGGAGAGAGATCAGGAGAGGACAGGTAGATTTGCGTGTCATGCGCATAGAAATGATAATGGAAGCCAAAGGAGCTGATGAGTTTACCAAGGGAGGCAGTGTAGATAGAGAACAGTAGGGGACCAAGGACTGAACCTTGGGGGACTTGTGTGTGTTTGGGGGGGGATGCATCTTTGCCTGTGTCTCCTGCTCTCCCCTTCAGCACAGGAGTTTATGCTGAAGAGCTAATTGACAGGTGAGAGAAAGACCTTTTATTAAATAGATTTTCCTTCCAATATATACGTTTTGCTAGCAATCTTGCTAACACAATGTACAGATAGACATAATTGATGTGATCCTGACAGTAATACACACATATATATATATATATATATATATGCATTTATATTAATGTGTGTATTAGTTATATATATAATTTTGTCTATAATATTTACACATATATTAATATACATTAATAAATGCATAATACACACAGAAATGTCATTAATATATACATATATGTAATGAGCACATATTGGCCCAGTCTTGTTGCTAGGTGCACACTCAGCACAATAACACATTCAAAGTGAAGAGCGCACCCATAGGATTTTTTACAGCTGTGCAACAGCATACATTCGCCATTTCAATCCAATTACCAAACTTTTCTGAATATGTCAAGGTAGTTGGACTGGAACATTGATTAAATGCAAATGTACGTCTGCTTTTTGAAGCCCTATATGCTTTCTTTCGTTGGAGTAAAAGTTTTCAATTTTAAGTTATCTATGCTGGCGCGACGCATTATTGGGCTGGTATAGACATTTTTTTCAGGGCTGCTTTTAGTACCCAGTCCGGCCCTGCTCTCGGTCTCAAAAATGATCGCAAGTATTTACGTTGTGTTCATTTGTGGTCACTCAGTAATGATTTTGCATGTTTCTATCTAGATAAACCTAACTGCCCTAAAAGATTATATTTTCTATTTCGCAATCGGAAGCTGTTTATTACAATGATTGATTCATTGCGTCCATAGTTACTGCTTTATGGAATGCAAGGAAAAGATTTTCTGGTAAGCATTTAGTCTGTGTTTCTACAAAGCCAGTTTAGATAAAATTATTTCCATAGAAATCTGAACAGACCATGGCCACATAAAGTAACTCTATAGGGTCAGGTACACAAAAATGTATTCCTGACCCTATAGTGTTAAAACCACCATTTATGTGGCTTGCCCCATCTCCCTCCGCGCCCCCCCTTAACAGGTAAGAAAACGTATCTCATTG